GCAAGGAAGAAACATATTCTTCAAAATGCCATATTTGTATATGGGCTGTGTTTAACTTGTTCTAATTCATGTTGACATCCATTAGACACAACAAATGAAAGCAAGGGAGAACCAACACCAGCTTCAAATGCAGCACCTGCAACTCATGCAGCAGCGCCATGGCCAGTTACAGCGAAGGGATCCTAATCATCCTCCCATCGGTGGTCCCATGAATTCTGAAGGGATGATAGGACAACCATCTGCCAGCATGTTGGCAATGAAAATGCATGAAGAACATATGAAGCACTCACAATCTATGGATTCAGAAACATCTCCAGCTCTTATTGATGCTAGGATGGCTCTTCTCAAGTCAGCAAACAATAACCAAGGGTGAGACCGATAGAATGCTCTTCCGCTCTACATTAAAGTTGTTAAGAAATAATTTGCTTTGTGATAATACTTTTTTCTTCTGGTTGATTCAGCCAATCAGTACATGGCAATTCTGTGGGCGTGTCTGCAGCATTGCAGCGAATGCAAGGACGGCCTCAGCTGGTCAATGTAACTACAAAAACCGTTTTTTATAGGCACTGAAACATTTGTACCTGCCCACTCCTCTGCACACGTACTTATTCATGGACACATATGAACATATATGTATATCAGATCTTTACCCTTTTGATTTGGAATATCCAGGACATTAAAAAGGAAGTTAATTTAGGGACGTCACAGAAATCCTTGCCTATGGATCCCTCATCTGTTTATGGACAAGCAATTCTTCAATCAAAATCTGGGCTTGGCGGTGCGGGTAATTTCTCTGAACCGCTAACTTTGACTTTACATTGATTTCCATTGCCACTCTTGCCAATGAAATATTCATGAGACAACTGTTGAGTAAAATAACTTAAAAGTATGGGGTGTGGATTGATAATGATGTGCATAACATAGGTTGTATGCCTAAAACTATAATGCATATAAATATTAAGTACTTCATAATCTGTGAATCTAATTTCTTTTGGGGGTAACTCTTGGATGCAGTTAATCGAATTGTACTTACTTCTTGGAACAATTGAAAGTCATGTGTTCATATTGTCCTTGCACCTATAGTTCTTGTCTTCTCTGTTTCCTGTTTGGGAAAGTGGAAGGAGATTTTTTGTTCCAGACACAATGAATGTTACTTGTGCTTCATAAAATTAGAGAAGATCGAAACATGTACTCAGTGGCTGTTTGCTTTAAAAGTAGACTGGGATTTTCTTGGATGTTGAATTTTCCTTTTAGTTCTTCCGCAAACCTGGTTTGTTTTAAATTGATTACCCAAATTTTTGGATCCAACTAATATTTATCATTTCAAAGTCAATTTTTGGCTGTGTATTGTTGGTTTGAGAGTTGTAATTGAATAATGCAAGGTCGAATGTGCACAGAATTCTTGCCTATTTGCTGCCTGAGCAAGACTAGAAGGAAGACTGGATAATTTGGATAATTGATGGTTTTGATTCTATTGGCGTGTAGTTTTCTCATTCAAGGCTCAGAAGAGGATATAATTTTCCTGGTCTTCCAGGAATAAACTAAAGAGTTACTCTGCAGAATTTCTTAAAAGCACGTCTTCCAAATATGGCATGAATTCAAAAATGTTTTTAAGCTTTCCTGATAGGGAAAGATAAGATACTCATAATTGTTAAATTGA